CAGCCAAATAGCACTGAAGGCCTTTTCCATTTTTGATTTAAAATTGGTCTGAAAAACCTTAGCATATCTCCAGCTCCTGGAAAAACGGAATCAAGTAGGTCTAACTTGGAGGACACAAGGAGATTGAAGGATGAAAAGGCTGACAAACTAGTAAAAGGAACTACAATTTGGCACACACTAAAGCATGTTAAAAGTGGAACTGAACAAAAATATGGAGAAATGACTCCACACTGGATAAATATACACCAGGTGCAAAACAATCAAAGAAGTTCCTTGACATCTCAACTAGCTGAAAACGAAAAGCGAAACGAAATGTAACTTCTTAGTAGGCAAAAAATAAGGAATATTATAGTCCTTTATACTGGTCATTGCCTATGTAATTACTACTTCAGAAAAATGGGAAAAACACACATAGAAACATGCCGAATCATGAAGAGGCAGAAACATTGCACATCCTTTCTTACTGCAAGGCATTGGCCTGGAAACAATACAGCCTCTTCAGAAAGACGATACTGACGCCTAAAGAAATAACCAGAGAGGAACCTTGAAAAGTGTTAAATTGCCTTAAGGCCCATTCACAGTTTGAAAATAAAGAAGGGTCGATTTCACTTTCTTTGAATTACAATATTCTTAATTCTTTTAGACCACCGTGAAATAAAAGGAGACTGGTTACAGTGACTCAAAGAAGGGATAAAAAAAATACAGCAGTCGACCTCAAGCCCTGAGAATCCAGTTAATTGAGCCTAACTCTCACCTTTCACTCTCACCAGCAATTGTCTTGCACTTTGCAATTGTACGGATTCTAATTTTATCTTACAACTAACAAATTCCCCCCTCCCCCATGAAATTTCAGAGGTATTGCACAGATCTGAGCCCCATAAGATAATAGACTGGCTAACATTATATATTTGTAACTAGGATCTAAAAGGTTTATTTATTAAAATATAATTAAATATGTTTAGAGCATATTTTGATTTTAAGTTTTTTGTTTTTTTTAATGAAAGAATTGATGACAGTTTAATCCTCAAGTACTATACACTCATCACTTCTATGTTCTTCTTATTATAACAAATACATAACTTTCCAAAACTCGAATTTTCCTAAAGTTTATCCACCTTTGGTTTAACCATAGGTTAACTTTCGAGTTCCATTCTAGGAATTTTTTAGCTTTTCTTAAAAGTTTCCTTGATCGGGGTTCTTTTATGGAACTTAACAACCAGTTGTTATAACTATTGTTTTTATTTAAAATATGGTATATATTTCGGGACTACCACGTCTCCTTCTCAGGGACAACCTTCCTTAAGTCTGGAAGTATGTTTCTTGGGACTTCGGGTTCCATTTTAAACATTAATCGTTTCAAAAGAATTGTAAAACACCACCATCTAATTTATCATTTGTTGCAAAACTAATTTTGTCAGTAGATAGTAGGACCAAATCATCTGCATATGGCCAGCATTTCCGATTTGTACTCTATCACATAATAGAAAAAAAATATATACACAAATAAAATAGCACATGTTTAGAATTTTTTAAATTAAAACTTAAATAAAATTTTAAAAAAGTTAAAACAAATGACAAAATAAATATAATACCCAGTACAGGCTCTACTTTTCTCCAGCCCAGTTAGCGTTCAATTTAGAAGATCTTAGAAGCGATGAACATCTTGAGAAAAAAAATTTTCTTCCCATTCTTCTTGGATTGTGCATTTATTGTCTTCAGTGTTCAGGAACTGGCGGCAGCCCTTATAGATTTTAATTATATTAAAATGTGGAGACCTAGTTGGCCATTGGCTATTCTAAAACTTAACATTTTTGCTGTATGGACAGGAGCATTGTCCTGCTGAAACAGAAATTATTTACTTGGCGTTATCTCTGAGTACCTTGTTAATTGATTTTCTATTGATTGTAGATATTGCGTACTATTCATTCTACCAGAAAGAAAAACAATTTCTGTTTTCTTAATATCCCCCATACTGTACTTCATTCACCTACTATGCCTTTTCGAAAATATAATTTTTTCTTTTAGCAAATCATAGAAGTAATATGCCAACGATCAAGGCCATTGAGGTTAATTTTTTTATGTCTGAAAATAGTACTTTTCTCTATTCTTCCTTCCAGTACATGGTCACAGGCGAACTGTTTATTGGCATTCCTTATTGACCTTTATTTAGGGGTGGTATCCTGTTTCATTTTCCTCATCTGGATGTATATATCATTTATGACTTTTTTTATGATATTCCAGCTCCTGAACAATTTGCCAAGTTGTCTAAGAGAAATTTGTACTGATCCACAAAATTGTTTTTCCCTGCTGGTTAAGATTTTTTTTTCTCGTAGTCTTCTGGATTATTTAAAAAGACTTTCCTAAGAGTGTCCTGTTTCATGATATTTCTGCAATCGATATTCCAAGATTTCTTCATTCTTAATATAATTGATGTCCAGAAAGCATCAAACAATTACCGTGACCTATTACAAATATTTATGTCGATAGTAGCAACAAGCTGGTTTCATAACTTGGTACACAATTGGATTTTGTTATTATTTTGGTTTACAAACAACGGTATGCTATCGTTTTGTGCCACTGCAAAATCAATATTTACAATTATTTCCATTATTTTTTTTTAATTTTCCTGACAATTAAGTAACAAGATTCAGTTAAAAGTTAGCTGAAAAAGTCATTTATGATATACACAAAAAAAAAAAAAAAATGAAAACACAATTGTAATGTATAGGCAAAATACTATGAAGTCCTATGTTTTTGTCCTGGATCTTAAATTTTTCACAACTTTAAATATAAATTTAAGTTAGTACTAAATTGTAAGTATAGTTGTGTAGACCACAGTAACCGAGTGGTTAAGGTGTCAGATTCTTGTCTCGTAGATCCCACAGATGTGGGTTTGATTACCACTGTTGTCTCTAGACTTATTTTCTGACCCCTAAGGGGACTGGTGGCCGCAGTGAAAATTGACACAGCACTTATAGATGGAATGTCTTAGGCGGGATCCCTGAATTCGATCTCAATCCCCTCCGTAAATGAGTTTCTTCGATGGAAGTACACCATCACACTGGGGGTTCAATTCACACACGTATTGTGAGCTCCCAAAAATGGAGCTAGGAAGGAGTACAATAAGCTGTGTAAAGCCTGCAGTACTCAGGGGGAACTCATACAGATTCAGGTGTCCACCACAATTTAAAAAAAAATAATAATTTTAAAAAAGTAGTTTTGTCATTTTATAGGGTGTCCTTGTGTAGTGTTAAAGTGCATGGGTTGATTTAAAATTTAACCAACCATTTATTCTATCATTTAAATGATTTTTCGGTGTTTTGGTGAATTTTCTTTCAAACCATCATGATTCAATAATTTTTATTAAAACTCATGAATTTTTGATCTCATTTAATTTGGTTTACATTAAAATAAGTATGTTCTAATTAATACAACAATAAAAGCACCTATAGTTTGACATACATATGGTTGATATATTTAATTAAAATTGTATGAAATTTCGTACGTTAAAAATCGTCAAAGGTTTTTTATCAGCTTGTTTTGTTCATTAATTTTCCTTGACACTTTATACTGTGCATTTCAATATAATTGCAATTCAATAAATGTAGTTGCATCATATTTTCTGCGTGTTTAGAAAACATTTCCATAAAACCTATGTTAACAAAATGATTTCAAATATTTAAAAAAAAGGCTTATTCGTTAAAAATATTCTAGTTTGTTATTCTTTCTATCTAACGTTTTTGGTTGAGATAATTGGAATTACCAATTATGACAATTAAACAAATATTGGTTTAAAATATTGCTGAATCATGATTGAGTGTAGGATGTTTCTTCCTGATGACCTTTTTAATAGTCTTGACTATATTAATCTTTATCAAATGTACATTTAAGCATGTAAAGTTAATGTTGAATATTGTCAAGATTTAAAAATATACCTATACATTATTATTATTATTAAAGACCGTTTGCAGGGGAAAAAAACACATGATTAAGTTTTTAAAAAAATGCTATTTATAAGCATAAAATGACATGGCAAAATTGAATAGTTCAAAAACAACAGTTTCTCCTTGAGTTTCGAAACAATTTAGGTTGTTAATTCTATCAGTTTTTTAAATTATTTATTATTATTCATCCGATGGGTTAGGAGAAGTCCAAGATACTTATTCACAACCTCAGCTTTTTGTTCCTTATAAAACCATTTGTCAAAATAGTTTAGCTTCATTGTGAAAAACTATTTTATTTTTTGAGAGGTTAACTTTTAATTCTATTGTTCACAATCCTAGTTTACATTAAAAGGTTTACGCTTTTCAGTAAGATAATAAGAATGTGTCATTTGCGGAATTATATTTCCCAAATCTTATACAGTCCAGATCCAGACTTAGAACACCACATAGATCTAGAAATAAAGAGAACATGGTGGGACTCAATACGCATCCCTGTTTTACAAGATTTAAAAAATTGCCATCTGACCAAAAAACTGAAAAAGCTGCATGTGAATAAAGGTCTTTTAAAATGTTTAAGAGTTGGGATAGTTTGAGGAATAATCAGGAATGATTACTGGATCAAAAGGTGATTGAAAATCACTAAAACACGTGTTTCCAGATCAGAAACATGATACTCAAGACGGATGCAGGGAGGCAGATGCCCCTGAAATTGATATCTGAAATTAAACAAATAAAAAGCACATGGGTCTGATTAGTTCCAAAACATCCTAAATGAATTAAATTTTTAAAAAATAAAAAAAAATTGAAAAAAGAAGAAATCCGAAATTAGATTCAATAAAACAGCAATACATTGTGCTTTTTAAGGAATTATTATTAAAAATGTTGCCTGCAATAATTATTTTATTTAACCTCTTACCAAATTGCTTACACTACTAATAAAGATATGTTGTTCTAGACTAATTAAAATTATGAAAGTCATGTAAATTTTTAACTCATGCTGTTCTAATTTTTTAAAGTGTAAATTAATGTTAATGAAATTGAATTTGTGTTAATTAGGTTCAGTGCCAGAAAATCCTAAAATTGGACCAAAACCAAAGATTCCTTCGCGCTGGAAGGTAGGAACTTTTTTGTTCATTAATTATTTTCTCTTTTTTAATCATTTGTTATATTGTTATGTTTAGTACTGTAATATCACATTTGCCTGCAATATTTGGTTGAAACCTTTTATTTAATATTTTTGCTAATAACTACTTTTTTATTATTTATATTATTAATGAAATATGTATTTTATTACCGGTCAGGTTTGTTGAGAAAAAATGGATACATCTACTTTATTGCACATTTTTTAGAATTGTTGCATGACATTTCCTTCAAAGCTCAAAAAAATGACAAGCAATGTTGCAAAAACCAGGGTTATATCCTCAAATGTTTTTTTCCTGAACCTTTTAGAAATTTTATTTCTCTGTGCCAAATAAACTTGTTCTTTTCGTTAGAGGAAAAAAAAATATTTTGCTCTTTTTATTTCTTATGAACGGTGATATTTCAGTAAAGTTTGGTTTTATAAACGTCAAAAGTGTTTCATTTTTATTTTCTCCAATCTACATAAATTCACCGTTCATTTACAGATTAATTGCTTATACTAATTTGATAATCTCAAGTGTATTTATTCATTGATACGGTTTCATTTTTATAAAATGCGATTAAAATGTGTAGTAGTTGGTTAATAATATTATCTAAACAATATACATTTTCTTTTGTATCCGTTGATAACAATAAAACATGAATGTAACAGTCACAATGTTTTTTTTTACATTCATTATTTACTAAACAATAAAGCTTGTCAAATTTCACATTATCACAGTACTTCAAACTGATTGATTTATAAGAATTGAAATTTATTTCTAAAAGTAAATGTGCTGTTCAATCTTATGCATTATAATTAATTTAAAAAATCATAAGTATCAAGAGCACAATGGTTGGAAGATATCGTTAATCAGACATACATAGTTGACACTTTTGTACCAAATTGAATGCCTCTCATTGGCATTTATAGCTTTGATGACAGATTGATTTGCAAGTCGGTGAACTCATGCTGAACTGGCATAGGGTCACTTATTGGGCCTGTCTTCACTCGCATGGTTGTTGAATTACTCAAATGCGTTTTGGCATTGCGCCATCCCATTTTCAGTGAGGAACTGTCTGTTATTTTTCTAAGTAGGGTTTATAAGTCATTGGGTCCATCGGTTATTGCTAGGGGCTTTTGCAGAGGGAGCATGGTCATGATGTTGGTTATTTCCATTGTCGGTTGTTATTTGTACATTGTTAGTTTTTGTTTTTTCCTGTGTTGGTTTCGAAGTACTTTTCTTTTGAAAGTTTGCATTTTTGTTATGTTGTGGTTTTATTAGTGTGTGATGTGAGTTCATTCGTACATTTATAATTTTTCTGTCTTTAAGGGTTATTTGTTTGTTAATCTCTAGGTTCTCCAGTGCATTGAGTTTTCATCCTTTTGTGAATTGTGCATTAAAGTCATGCTTGTTTCTATTTTGCTTGGTTTGTGATAGTGATATATTAAGTGCGGGGCATAATTTGATTTCCCTTAGTTTCTCTTAAGGATCTGAGATGTTCTTTGAATCGATCTCTTAATTTCCTTCCAGTCTGTCCAATGTATTTGTCTCCATATTGGCATGTGATTCTATAAACACTATTATTGTCTAGTGGGCCAGTTATGCCTGTTTCTTTTTAGTAGATTGCCTGTGTTATTGTTGGTCCTTAATGCTGTTTTTTGTTAGTCTGTAGCTTTATTTTCTTGTGTATGTGAATGTTGTCCATTTTTGTTTATTTTTTTAAATATATTTTTTTTAAAGTAATTTCTGGATGTTGCTTGTTTTGTATCAATGTTTTATTGCTATATTTGTTATTATTGATAGTTCTTTGTTGTAATTTTCAGTGTTGAGTGGGATTGTTTTTAGTCTGTGTATCATGTGTCCTAATGCTGAAATTTTTTGTTGGTGTGTGTGGTTGTATTGTGCATTTGTGATGTTGCAGTATGTTTTCTGTATATTTGTAATTCGATTTTATTGTTGGTTCTGGTGAGTTTTAAGTCCAAGAAGTTGATGCTGTTGTTGCTTTCATTTCTATGGTGAGCGTAATGTTTTTGTTTAAAGGTCCCCTAAGTACGTTTTCTGAGGATGTACTTAGGCTTTTCTTTAGAAGTGGTTTTACTCCTTTGTATCTCAGATGTTTGAGTGCAGTTTTCATCACTGTTGTGGGACAAAATGTTTTAATTCAGTATTTTAGCGTTTTAATGTCATGTATGAATCCAAATATAATTTTATGTGATTTAATAAGTTATATTACTTTTTGTACAGAGGCGTTCCTTACCAGCTGATCTCCACTTTCCAGAAGACTTCGTACTTAAATATGAGGCTAGTGAACAGATTCCTTTATCTAGAGCATCCCGACGCCAATCTATGTCAGAAATTGGTTTCGGGAAAATGGAAACGTATACCAAAATACACAAACTTGGTGAAGTAAGTCAGAATTTATTCTTCAGGTTTTCTGTATAACTGACAATTTATTTTTATGCGTTGCTTCAGGGAACGTATGCAACTGTATTCATGGGAAGATCTCGGTTGACTGATAATTTGGTTGCGCTAAAAGAGATTAGGTTAGAACATGAGGAAGGTGCTCCTTGTACTGCTATTCGAGAAGTGTCGTTACTGAAAGAGTTAAAACATGCTAACATAGGTGAGTTTAAAATTAAGTTTTAACATAAAAAAAATACATATTTTTATTATATTGGAAAATGGGATGCAAATAAAATTATTATTTTTTTCAGTAACTTTACATGATATTGTACATACAGAAAAGTCTTTAACATTAGTTTTTGAATACTTGGAGAATGACCTCAAAGATTATATGGATGTCAGGGGTAACAGTTTAAGCCCGCACAATGTAAAAGTAAGATTTTTTTTCTACCAGCTCATATAGTCTAGTATTGTTAATTAATTTCTAATAATTTTTTGTAGCTGTTCTTATTCCAATTATTAAGAGGTCTTGCATATTGTCATAAAAGAAGAATCCTTCATAGGGATTTAAAGCCTCAAAATCTTCTGATCAATGAAAGAGGAGAATTGAAGGTAAGACAAATCTTTTCAGTTAAAAAAAAAATTACATAATTATTTGTAGCTTGCAGATTTTGGGCTAGCTAGGGCTAAATCAGTACCGACAAAAGCGTATTCAAACGAAGTTGTTACATTATGGTATCGGCCGCCAGATGTTCTAATGGGTTCAACAGAGTATTCGACACAAATTGATATGTGGTAAATTAAATTACATACCCCAAACATTTGTTTTGTTAGAGATTTAAATTTATAGTAACAATCAGTAATTTATCTTTGATTATAAAACTATAGATTTTTGTTGATTATTAGTTCAGCAATTGGCCAGGTTTCTCTCATAACATACTAAAAAAAAGTCAGACTCCGAGAAAGAAGAGTTTAGGGAAATACAATTTCAAATATATTTTTTAAAAACTTTTCTTTTTTCCTTGACTAACTTTTCAACTAAAAATCAACAAAAATGTAATCCAACAAGGCCATCAAAAACAATCATCCACAGTATTTTTTAATTGAGTTGATTCAATATGGTGGATGTTATTTAGGGGTGTTGGGTGCATCTTTTTTGAAATGGCTTCTGGTCGGCCTCTATTTCCCGGTACAACAGTAGAAGAGGAGCTCACTTTGATCACTCGAGTACTTGGTCCATTGGATATGTCAGCCCCTCCAGCTAAACCGCCTGGTCAAACACTGTTGCAAAAGGCTCCTACCCTGAAAAAAAGCGGAGTAACATTGCTAACATCCTTCCTAGCCGTGAGTATTTAAAGATAAGTTTACATGGAGAGGTTTTTGTCCACTCAGAGCCCAAAGTGTTCACACTTGAAATGATGTCGAACATCTTCGAGCTCATCCAATGTCAGTCACTAGGTCGCTCTACCCTTTTGACAGTTTCAAACATGACTATCAACAATTAAGCTGTTTAATGTTATTATTTTTATGATGAAGAGAAAATAAAGAAATAAAAAGATAAAAGTGGATCTATCCCATATTGTCAAAAACCACTCATGTGAACTTAGCCTAATGCATTATATTGCGCTTGATCTTAAATTTATCATCTTAATTTTTTAGTATGAAGCTAAAAAAAGAGTTTCAGCCCCAGATGCCATGAAAAATCCTTATTTCTCTAGTTTGGATCCAGAAATACATAAACTACCAGATAGTAAGTATTTTAAAATGAAACCTACTTTTTAAGAAACATGGTTTTACTCCTTTTTTTTTTTTTTTTAATTTTTAGCTGCGTCAATCTTTAGTATACCATCGATTCAACTCGAACATGATCGTTTCGCCGTTAAAATGGGAAAGAATCGACACACAAAACACTTTTCATTTTATGATCTACTTGTAAGTGAGTGAATCAATTCCAACAATGCAGAATGATCAGTGCGTCTGGTATTTTTATGCTCAATATTAATTCCAATGAATCATCATTTTGTAATTTTGTTACTCTCCCCTGCAAATACGACCGTTGAATTAAATAGAAATTCGTCTTTGAACTTATTCGTTCTAAATTTAAATTAAACCGAATCTATAATACAATCGAGCATCAATAACATAGAAGTGATTTATCCTGGCTTCTTACTTTTTTAAATTTGAATTTTTTTAAATTTAAAACCCTCAACTGGGTAAATAAATTCTAACCATTTTATTTATAAACCTTTATTTTTTCGTTGTCTTGCTACTTGATTATCTTAATAGCCTTTAAATTTGCTCATTTCACATTTTTTGAAAAATAAGCGAATAAAATGTATGAGTAACTTAATGGCAACAGTTAAAGTTTATGCTTATACATAGTGGCTGAAAATGCTAACGATTAAATAATGTTAATTCTAACTAAAGAATAATATAACAAGAATTATAGATTAATGTGCTATTTAGTAAAATTGCAATGAAAATTTTCAGTTAAATAGCATGAATAATGGTTAAATTAAAAATTGTATTTATAAATTTTAAAATTCAATGTTCAGTTTTAATAGGATTAGGTTTTCATAGGTACACTTGAGTTTGCTTAAAATTTACATTTGATCATAATCCCCCCCCGCATTGTGTTTGTTTTGCATTTGTCATGAAAAGTTCAAACCGACGCAAAGTTTATTACAAATCTGAAAAAAAAATTGGGTAAATATAAGAAATTGTGATTGAGTTTATAGTTGGCCAACTAAACATTGTGATAGCGTAACATGAAATTTAAGTTTATTTTTGTATGATATACATAATTAGAACTATAAACAGGCCCACCTCATAATTTTCTTAAAAATTAATATATAAAAGAACACCGCTTAACCCACTAGCGTCAAACCTTTATCCATACTGTTTTGTTTTTTTCTTTAGTTTAGTTTATTTTAAGTTTTAAGCATTATTTTAGTGGCAAATAGATTCCACAAAAGAAAACAATGTTAAAATTAAAAATCAGTATTAAACTTTAAAATGTCAAGGCTTTTTTAACACGCATGGAATAATTCCATAAGTATTATGTAATGCCTACTGATTAGAAACAACAATAGTTTTATTTATAAAATTAAAAGTGAGTTTTGTTATGATTGTTGTTAGATTTTAGCTAAAATTAGACTAAAAGTAAAGTTTTAAAAAAAGTTTGAATTACACTTTTTACTTTCTCCTTCCTTCACCCTTTAAACTATAATTTCATCCTAAAATATTTCATTTTATTTTTAACAGTTAATTTAATATTTACTTTTTAATTATGTTATTACATACATTTTATTATTACATTTCAAACTATTTAAAAAAATTAACTCGCTCTATCGAGGGGAAAATTTCCATTCTTTAGATTTGTTTAAATTTGTCCGCTTTTTTACTCAAAAATAATCTGGATCTCAGTACAGTGAAGTAGATGAAAAGAAAATCAAATCTATCAAGCTTTTGACCTATTTTAAAGTCATCATCGGCGCAAAACAATCTTAATTGTCTACAAATTACATAATTAAGTTTTTCAACTTTATTGGAACATGGACTGTGTCAGTCCTTTGTAATGTTGGAACATCTTTAAGATAGTTGTGTGCTGGTGATGACATTAAAATAGGTAGACAGCCTGGCAGTTTTGAATTTGTTTTTTCATCTACTTGGCCATACCAAGATTCATATTCGTGATTCTTCAGATTTGTAACATTTCTAACCTCTTTATTTTAATTTTGACTAGTTGTTTGTTTACAATAATTATAAAATTGATAAGAGTAATTTTATATAAGTCAATTTTCAATTTCATTGTGTATCATACATAAAGTTTCTTTTCTTTATAGTATTTTTTGTTGTTTGCTTGGTCAGCTATACTTACTTTAAAAAAAAATAATACATATATCTCTTGTCTATTTGTATTTATTTATAATATTTTTTGTTAGAGAATTGATTTTAAATCATGAGTTTTACCAAGTTTTATATAATTATTTTAACATGTAAAGCGCCAGCAGTCCCACGTGAGCCTTCTCTCTTGTGGTTTTACATTTTTTTGACCAGGGAACGAATTTCAGTTGACATCGTGTTCTAGCTCAAGCTTTTCCTGTGTATTACACGCACATTTCAGACCGCTCTGGCCTGGGACAAAAAAAAAGTGAGTGTTTTTTTTTTGTTTGTTTTTTAAATAATTAATATGAACTAGTAATGTAAGTGGCATCAGTGGCCACAACAGATTAAGGTGGGGCACTTGATTGTATGGTAAAAGTCCCGGGTTAGAATCCAGTGACCCTGCATTTGAACCCAACATACATGAACTTTTTTCCTCTCAAAAACACCGGCATCCTGAAGGTTGTATGACTTATGCTGTTGCGAACCCTCAGTTTAAAATATATATATATATACACTTACAGCCACTGTATTAGATTTTCTGTAATGTTTTTTGGGCCTATTTCTAAGTCATGTGACTGCAATCTGGACTGTCGAGGTGGCTTGGTGCCTAGGAAGGAACTAAAAAAGCTATCCCCTTAGCGAAGTGTTTTTTTAAACAAGAAAAGATAATTGCTTTTAATTTCTCTAATTTCGTGGTGTGCTTGACCAATTAATATATTATAATTAATTGGTCAAGCGGACCACGAAATTAGTGAATTTAATGATTTAAAATGAAGTATACATCACTAAAGCTCTCCGTGGCCTTTTTATTTGTCGTCGAGATTCCAATCCAATTACATGACATTTGAAAAATGGCAAAAAGGAGGGAAAATTCAAATGGTGCGGTTGAGATGATGGGAAGTTGGTGTCCGAGTGGATCGAAGTCACGATAGCTCAAGTGGTAGAGCAGCAACATATCAATCCGAAGATCATGGGTTCGAATCCCGCTTGTGCCATTGACTTTTTTATCTCAACTAAAAACCTTAATTAATTATAATAATTGCTTTTGTTCATTTATTAAGGATACTAAAAAAAACACAGAAATCTCATTTTGAGGGTGAAGCATGCAGGGGATCCCATGGGGCTTTACATGTTAAAAAATGGATATTAAAATTTATTGAATAAATGTTTTAGAAATATAAATGTTGTTATAATTGTTATATTACGTGAAGAGTTGAAATCAAGATATTTTTGTTTTAAAGTAGCAAAGTGCCATAATTTGGGGGTAAATAAGTACTTTTTTTGTTATAATTATTGATTTTGACTGATTTCTTAAACATTTTATGTTGTTATAAAATAAACTGTGATGAAAGTGTTTGCACTTTTATAACACAAAAAAATATTTTATGTAAATTACTGAACTCTGGGATTAAAAAAATTTCTTAATCAAATATAGGATCTCAAAAATACTAAGTGTATAAGTTGATTAAAACACTGTAAAGAATATATTGGTGGTATGTGATTAGATATTAATTTTCAGGATGTTGATATTATTTATTCTTCAGATGGGAAAACATCCTATTATTTCTAAAGTAGACTTTAAGTGTGTGCCGATTACAAGGGATAAAGCATATCAGGCTGTTGTAAAAACAATGATTATCAATAATTCAAATCTTACACTTCCTGAGGAGTAAAATCAAAGGACAATTTATTATACAGAATTAATCATGATGAAATTTAACTAACATAGAAAGTTCAGAAATTAAGCTCTTTATTGATAAACTTTTAACAGTGAAACAAAACTGTATTTTTAAATATATAACTTGTACAATTTAAAAGTTCAATTGCTTGAAGGCCTATTCTTGTATAAGTTCATAAATTAAAATGTGCATCATTATGTTAAATTTACAATTATTTATTTTATAATGAATTTGCATTGTAATCATACAGTGATCATGTAGTAGGGGTCGGCCAACTTTTTCTATAAAATTGCCAAATTGTAAACCTCAGGTTGGCAGTTGTAAACTTTGAACTTTTAGATGAAAATGTACTAATGTGAATGAAATTCTTTTGAGTCAATCATCATACTGGAAAGTATTCGTAAATTATTTTTACATTTTCCTCATGTTTTTTCTTTATGTATTAATGATAATTTTGCTTCAATTTTTTTAGGATAGTTTAAGGAACGTTAACTTAATATTTATTACGGCTAACTTGAAACCAAAGTCATCAGAGGGCAGGTCATAACATATAAGAAAATATTGAGAAAAAAATTGCTGCCTGGGATAATGAAAATTGAAATCCCAGTCGGTGGTGAGCCTAATAATTTTTTTTTTTGAAAATGCTACAAAAATTGATATCACAGCACTTATTGTAAATTTTACATATAACAACAACCAATATCACAATTGACTCTACTGGGCATTGAATGATTTTATCACTCTAGTTATACCCATTTAAGCCAAAAATATTAAATTTGCTCTTATCTGAGAATACTTTGTCCCAGAAGCAATTTTCATTTTGGAAAGTCTAATGAAAGGTTTTTGCTGACTTTCAACGTCAGTTATTCAATCTTATTCAAATTTTCCAGCAATTTTGCTTGGCAAAGAATTGGTTTTTATAATCACCCATTTTTTGTGGTCAAAAGGCTTCTTAGATTTTGGAGTATAATACGTATTTGGCACAGTATTATATGTGCTTTTACGTTATTCTGACTTTAGTATGGTATACTATATAACGGTAAATTTATTGTATTATTAATATCTCCATCTGACATGGAAGTGATACATCCAAAATGAAACCAGGTAGAACTGATAGAAGGGGCAGTAAGAAGGTTGATAATCGAACAAGTTTCCTGACATTCTTTTCCATTTTTTTTCGTATCTGTTTCATTGCCCCAAGGCTTGACTTTGTGGGCGAAGCTGAATTGGACAATTACCGCAGGCTTCTTCAGTTTGATACTCTTATTCCAGAATCATGTAAAAAAAAAAACTGAAATACTATAAGGAAAAATATGAGGCAACTAAATACAAAATTTATGAATGCTTTAGAAGACACTGAAAGTACTCTCAAATCTACAAATTGCGCCAAAGAGATTTATTTGATTTACTTAAAATTTGTTCATGTAAAATACAATATTAATCCACTGGTTGGAAAAATTATTAAAAACAAGCGGCGGATTGTAGTTGCCGATCCCTAATCTATAGGGGAAAAAGCTAGTCATTGTCAGTTGATTTTTTTCAACTCATAATTTGTCGCTGAGCTTTTGTATTAAGTTCTTACGATTAGACAAAAATTAATATAAAAACGCTATATGAATTTACTAAATAAAGCTAAAATTGTAACAATACTGCCCTTTTTCCTATTCGGTTAGTTCATAAAATCTAATTTACAACTAACTTTCTGGAAACGTTCAAAACCTAAGGGATTTTATTTTTATATGTTGTGTTCTTCAGTTTCAGTCGATCATTATATGTATTTGCATTTTGAGAATGTTTTCAGGATCTATGTTGGTTTTGTGAAGCAATATTCTTAAAGTATGCATTTTGTCAGTTTATATCAAATTAAGAGTGTTACATTTGTGTTCATAGTTTGTAAGTTGTGTACAAATTGTCTATTTGAACTGAAATCCTGTCCAGGTGGAGCCGAAAAGAGAGCATAAATTGTTAAGTGCCTGTTGTAATAATAAATGCCTCCTGTTAAACACTTTTTTTCAAATTTAACAGCTCGATAAAAATTTCTGTGTATATACTTACATTTTACAAACTGTATATTGAATAGTCTTTTGCTACGATCAGCATTGTGATTATTATCCGTCTTATAAATCTACAAATTATTCCTCAACTGTTTTTTATCTTTTGCCGAATAATCGACTTTGGGAACAAATTAGTATTTTTCAGTTTGATCCATCCAACCCTGTTCGTGTTTATGAAACAGTTTTGTGAGTTTATGTGAATTTTTAAAAAACAAAATATATATTTTATTTGTGAACCTATTTACAAGAAAGGTTTAAAAAAAGATTATTTGAAAAATGTGACGTTTTATCAGATAATTTACACTGTTAATCTAAAGCTAATATATGATTAAATAAGTTCAAACTTTTCAAATAGATTGTGAAATTTCCCGATATTTGGTCATTGCTGATAGTTTTGGCCTGGGTTTCATATGTCCAGTTCTAACTTGCTGAAGATGGTGAAATGTCAAAACCCACCTGACCAATCTAGATTTTTGGCATACCAAAACAATCATTAACAACCAAATAAAGATGAATCATTCATAAAAAAAAATTAATTTAGTGCCTTATTAAAAAGCGC